ATTAGAGCGCTGCTCTTGAGGGGGATGGAAGGGTACTTGGGATATGTGACTCCCTGAGGTCACGTGACCTCAGGGGGGGGGGGGGGGGGTTCGTGAGGGTAATTCTAATAAACCTTGTGACCGTCGTGAGGGTAACGCTCCTGACCCTTGTGACGGTAAGCCTCGTAATCCTGGTGCGGCTAATCCTCCTGACCTTCGTGAGAGTAACCCTCGTAATCCTGGTGTGGGTAACCCTCATGAGAGTAACCCTCATAACCGTCACGAGGATAACCTTCGTGACGTCATTATGGGAAACTACCCATAATGCAACGCGCGGGTTGCATGCAACGCTTGGTTACGCCGCTTGCATGCAACGCGCTGCGTGCAAGCTTTGCATAGCGCGGTTACGAAGCTTGCATGCAAGCTTTGCATGCGCGTTGCATGCAACGCGCGGTTACGCCGACGTCGACGACGACGCCGCTCAAGCCAGAAACGGGCGCCTAAAAGCTGCGCTCTGAAAAATCCGTGTGGGCCCTTTTCCTACAGTAATTGTAATTCTGTGATGTGTATGTTTATACAGCCTGAAGTTAGTCTGCTTCCATGGGCAACTTGTCTCTCAGCTGTAGATGATAAGTTTAGCCAGTGCAGTATGACTGCTAGCCTGGGGTCTTTAACGTGCACCACTCAGTGGGTATACGCGACCGCACGCCGGTACGGTGCTCATCCAGATCGAAACGGACAGGGTTGGGGATCGAACCCTGTATCCCTGGACTCTGCAGCGCGAGCTTTCGCTCCACGTTGCTGCAGTACAGCGCACAATCACTGCAAGGAATAGAATACTACTCTATACACTCCGTACTTCGTTTCAGCTCGACTTCAGACGAAGCCGACGCTACGAGATATAACGGAACCCGTCAAAAGCACAAGTCACTGGGCCTTTTCTTTTTACGATTGGATCAGCGATGATAGAACACGTACTTAAACACGACGAGCACCATGATGGAGCTCTTTTGACGCTGTTCGAATGGTTCCATACGGGAGTTTTTGTAGATCGTTTTCGCTGTCCCGCAACGTTCACCGCAACCCGCTATGATACTCTGAACTCTGCAGTCAATGCCAGCGGAGACTCCTTGCGGAGGGCGTAGCGTAGTGGGGAAAACGATACACGAAAGCTCCCTATTAGGGAGTTTTCGAAGACCGCGTTTCCCCTTTCACTAAGCCCTCCGCAACGGAGAAGGTGTTACAGCGCCTGCGCGGCGATGACCTTGACTGAAGAGTTCAGAGTATCGTAGCGGGTTGCGGAAAGCGTTGCGGGACAGCGGAAACGACACACGAAAACTCCCTATTAGCTTCGTTGCGGTGGCTGCGTCCGTTAGGGGTGAAACGAAATACAGGAGTTAGCGAGAAAAGAGAACCGTGTTCTGCGGTCCGAGTAAATAAACTATAGGCCTCGCAGAAAGCACAAACTCCGTGAGAATGTTACGCTAGCGGTTGGGACAATATGCTGAAGTTTAAGAACATGACGTTGCACGGATAAAGATATAATCGAGAAAAACGAAAATTGTTTTCATGAGCCGACGTCCACTGCCTAATATTGTTAAAAGGAGAAATGACATCGTGGGCACCTATATTAATTTCAATGAAAACAACAACGACAACAGCTTGTCAGCAAGAAAGAAAACAATAAATTTCTTTCTAATAAGTTATTTCACTACTTTAAATTCCAGAAGCGTCCACAAAGTCGTTTCTTGTTTTGACAATATTAGGCTTAGGTGTACATCGGCTCATAGAAAAATTTAGATTTTCGTCAGTTATCTTTTGATCCAGGTAACGTCACGTTCTCAAACATTCGCGTTCTATATTCCAACCGCTAGCGTCACAATCTCACCGAGTTTGAGCCTTTCTGGGATGCTTAATTTATTTACTTGGACCAAAAACGCGATTCTCTTTTCTCGGGAAGTCCCTGTATAAGTCATCCAATGAGACTAATTTCCCGCGAATCACTTGGGTGAGCCAACCGCTGCAACCTACGAAGGGAGCTGGGCTTGCATGACGCAGCTGCAACTATATTTAGGCAGAAAAAAAAAGAAGGTTTGCGTAGTGACCCTGACCATGACGTTTCACCTCTGTTTACGTCAAGTTCACGCGTCACAGCGCAGAGAGCGTTTTTTAGGTCTGAACATGGTTCCAGTCTCATCATTCATCGAGTCTCATTCATTCATCGAGTTCCCTCCGCAGAGCGCAGCGAAGGGCTATCCTATGCAGTGCAATTCACTTATAACGATACCACATATAAATATGTATCGCTTATTACGATCGGTTTCTAGTCCATGTATATGTAGACACTCAAGATTTCAAATGCTCACAGTTTAACAAACCCAAGGCGTGGTTTAAATTATCTGGATGATTCTCCCTTCGCGATTGGTTCTTCGCAGCTCTCAATGACAAGCGCCGCAATCTCATCCGCTGAGCAGCGATTATTAGACGTTCGGAGACACGCCATGCCCTCCTGCTTTCCTTAATAAGCTGCCAGAAACTGTATGGCGAGCAAGTGTTCCAAAATGCGTCTTCGGCGCATCGGAGAGAAACGAGGTACACGCGGATCAAAGGGTAACATGTAGGGAACAGACAGGGAGCGCGCAGTCACGAGGCAGCTAAACACGCGTCGTCATAGGGAAACACAGGGAAACAGTAGGGAAACATAGGGAAGCAATATGGAAACAGGAAAACGACAGTACGTGTACACAGTTGGTGGCTAAACAAAATAACGAGGTGCGCAAGGAGCCGACGAACTTGCTCACCGTATAGATCCGAAGAAAGTGCATCTGCGCAGGGACAATGAACCTGACATTTTGATTTGCTCATTGTTCTTCCGAACATCGCATTTTTTCCGGTCTATAGTCGTATTCGGAGCATCGCCAATGGCTGGGATCTGCGTTTTTCCCTGTGATCGACTTCCTGCGTGTTCTGCGAGAAAAGCGAACACACAGACGTTTTCTAGATTGTGCTTGCACCTCTACAGTCCCCGAAAGGAACGACTGTACACACTGCAGCGGAGGGCACACTGATTACCAATCGTTCATTCTCTTTCGATCGGTTCGGCCAAGGAGGAGGGTAATCTCATCCTGAACCGATAGTCGTGGAGTGTTCGTTCGGTGGGCGAAAATTTCCGCTAGTTTTCCTCTAAAACAATGTGACTCTTCACTTTAAAAAAAGTGCACGAATATATCTGAAACACATGATGTGTGAATGACATTGAAAAGAAAATTAAACGTCATGAATTATGACCCATTGTTCCAACGCGCATCGCACTATTTCTTGAAGTCTAATCGTGAGCTTTCTCATTCGCTGGTATCCTCCCATTGTTCGCCGTGATTGGCTGTCTACGTATTATGCAGGGAAGCGAACTCACAGTTTTTTTTTTGGAGTATGTGAACGAATGCTTTCTGTAAACATTCATGTTCCAAATCTGAATGGCACTTTTTGTTTTCTTTTTTGACATATATTTATTTCATTATGCATAACGCATTATACTCTATTTCTTAAAGCGCGACACGCCAGGAATAGTTTTTATTGAAATATTAATGGCGTAACACGGCCACATTTTAAAACGGTAAACATCTCCATTTTTTTTAGAGCACTTTATAGGCGTTGAAAGCGGGCTTGAATAACTTAACTGCCCTTACAAACCTAGCCAGGGACGCTCTATTCCGTGCGAATATTGCAACATTCACAATAGTGGGTGGCGTGGGAGGCTTTATTGAGTTACAGCCGTCATCGGGATATTGCCGTAATCCAGAGAAGTGCGATAATGTCGCGCTGCTATCAACGAGCAAGTGGGTCACTGATATGCATACGTTAATATAGACTGATAGGGATAGATCGGCGATTATGTTTTTTTTGCTATATTCAATTGAATTAAATTCAATGTTAATTTAATTTTTTTTTCAATGGTTAGGGCTGGGAAAAAAAGCTGCATGGACAATTTGTTTTTCATTTCCGACTGACCGATTAAGATAGAAAGGGCGTGGTTTGGTTTGTAATGTTCACGCTTCTCGCTTCTTGATTGGCTAATCGGCGTTCTGATCAGCTAATGATGCAATCGCATTAGCTAAGACGCGACAATGAGATGTGCAGGACCCACAACGACCTATGTTTTGTTAGGCTGGCGGGGATTATAGTTTATGCTCGTTGCAGTTTCGCGCCCACGATTTCAGAAATCTCTTGTTCGAGAGTTTTTCGGATCAACTCAACAATGCTTTCTGAATTCTTGAATTGAAAGAATACGCACGACACCGAGCCAGGGGTTTACCTGATTGAAACACACGCATTCGAAAACTGCCTCGCGTAAAATCAAACAAATAACAAACAAACAACACAAAATGCATGAAATATTGTCGGAACAAGATTGTATTATCTTGAGGTGGTTTTATTTCTAATACTGAAGAAGTCCGAACCAAACGGCAAAGTTTCAAAACTAACCGTTATTTCATTTAAAAGTTAGAAATGATTTTTTGAAAATTGCAAAGAAAAAAAAAAGAAGAAAAGAAATTAGGTTACCTTTTTTATTTTATTTTAGTTTTTTTTTTTTTGCAATTGGCGTTATTTAGTTCCATCTGTTCGAGAGGTTTGTCAGGCGCCATTTGGTCATTAGAAATTTAAGAAAATCATATATATATATATATATATATATATATATATTGTGACGAAGAGAAGCGGCACGAGTCTTCGGGGACGCGCCATCCTGGGAGAAGAGGAAGAGGAAGGACAGACTGAACGAGCGGCAATATATACCGGAAGGTCATCTTGATTTCTATCTCCAATACCCGTGTAAATAATAAACCCCCATCACTGAATCCGACTTCTGCTACAATTGGTGGAGGTGCAAACTTCCCCAACTCGGACCTCACTCGCAAGTATAATTCCCAACCCTGGAACTCCGCAATCGGCGACTACCATCAGCAATGCCAGGCGAAGGAACCTCGGATGCTTTAAGATCGGCTACCTCCAACCAAGGACCCACGACTATTCTGTGTGCCGGAGCACTTCGCCAACGTGACCCGAAGCTCTTCAGCGGGATCGGCGACGATGACATTGATGACTGGTTGGAGTCCGTAGAAAGAGTAAGCCTTCATAACAAATGGGATGATGTGCTGAAACTCAATAACGTTATTTTTTATTTGACTGACGTCGCTAAACTATGGTACACCAATCACGAGTCAGAGCTGGCGACCTGGACTCTGTTCAAATCGAAAATTCAGGAAGTATTTGGGAAGCCAGCCCAGCGAAAGCTGATAGCAAAAAGAACCCTGGCATCACGGGTTCAACAAAATGATGAAAGCTTCGTCAGCTACATTGAAGATGTGCTAAAATTGTGCAAGCGCATTGACACACAGATGCCGGAAGACGAAAAACTGAAAAACATCATGAAGGGAATTGCTGAAGACGCATTTCAAATTCTTGTCGTCAGAGCCCCCGCGACCGTCATTGAAGCCATCGATATTTGTCAAAACTTTTCTGAGCTGCGCACCCAGCGTTTGCCACTCAGCCGCAAGCCGCAGCCTCCCATGGAGCTAGCTAGCTTGAATAACGCTGCGGACTGTCCTCCCGATAAATGGGGTGACCTTCGATATCTCATTCAGGAAATCGTCCGCGACGAGGTGGCTCGCCAACTAGGAAAGCCTGCCACTTCCCCAGAGCCCTACGTCTCACCTTCCATCAGAGCGCTTATTCAAGAGCAAGTCACAGCCGCTATCCCTAACCCTGTGATACCGCCCACCATGCCAATGCCGCTCGCGCCTACTTACGCCGAAATGGTAGCGCGTCCGCCCCCCATGCCTGTCGTCCAACCCCAGCAACCATTTCCTTCCCCTCGTTGGCAAGGACGTAGAGCCGACATATGGAGGACCCCGGAGAATCGACCAATTTGCTTTTCATGTGGTCTGGTTGGACATGTCGCTCGGTTTTGTCGACGTCGGTACCCTGAAAGTTATGGTACCCCACCACAAGCTCACTATCGACCAGGCTTCGCTGGTAGTCGTCGAAGTGATGCTTTCCAAGATTACTCTGACTACCAACGGCAGCAACGACCAAGCAGATCTCCGTCTCCCAGACGACGCTCGCTGTCTCCTCTCCGCCCACGTACGACATCTCCCGCTCCAGAGGGAAACTGCTAGGAGCAGTTCCAGAGGCGAGAACTGCGAATCCTTCTACATCCTTAAGTCCTCGCCCTATTGCACGAAATATGATTGATATTGTAATTAATGGTTTGCATGTTCAAGCATTAGTTGACACCGGCGCTGCAGTATCAGTCATTCGGGCTGACCTTTGTAATCGATTGAGGAAAGTCACGACCCCTTTTGTTGGACGTCCATTTAGAGCTGTTGGTGAGCAAAACATTGTCCCTACCGGGGTCTGCACAGCACGCATTGTGATTCAAGATATATGTTACTGCGTCGAATTTGTGGTGCTTTCTTCCTGCTCTCATGACGTGATTCTTGGCTGGGACTTTTTGGAAGCAACGAATGCCCTTATTGACTGTGAACGTGCAGAGGTGGACTTTGCTGAAATTCGGCTTCCTGAAGAAAATGGCGCTGTCGACACGATCAAATTATTTCTAACTGATGACACAAGAATTCCTGCGTTTGCTTCTGTGTTTCTGCCGATTCAGTCATCTAAACTCGAAGTGCTAGTCCTAATGGCATCTCCATCTGCAGTTTTTTTTCGCAAGACAGGTATCCTTGTTCCTTTTTCCTTGCTCAACCTTGACAACGGCTACGGATTTATTATGGCTCTCAATATGTCTTCTCTCCCAATAATGCTCCCTGCCGGTGAAGTTGTAGCCTACGCCGAACCATCTCAAGCCATCGAGGTTTTCGCATTCGATACTCCCTCTCCTGCATATTGTTGTACATTAGTTCAGCAGCGACATGACGAAGACGAGTTCTTGTTATCCACTGTAGATGGCCACCTCGATTCGTCTCAAAAAGACTCAATTCTGTCTGTTCTGCATAGATTTAACACCATATTTGATCGCCCACAGTCTACTTTGGGCCGTTCCACATCTGTAGTCCACCACATTGATACAGGCAACGAGAAACCCTTACGTCAACGTCCATACCGTGTCTCAGCGTCTGAACGAAGCATAATAGATGACGAAGTGAACAACATGCTAGACAAAGGTGTCATCACGCCATCTACGAGTCCGTGGGCTTCCCCAGTGGTCCTCGTCAAGAAGAAAGATGGTACTATAAGGTTTTGCGTTGACTACCGGCGGCTAAACAAGATCACGCGCAAAGACGTATATCTAATGCCCAGAAACGATGATGCCCTTGACAGCTTGCAGGGAGCCGAGTATTTTTCTTCTCTAGACCTCCGTTCAGGATACTGGCAAATCCACATGGCCTCCAACGACCGAGACAAAACAGCCTTCATTACATCGGAAGGACTGTACGAGTTCAACGTCATGCCTTTCGGCCTCTGCAACGCACCCGCGACGTTTGAACGTATGATGGATGCCGTGTTGCGAGGCCTGAAATGGAAAATATGTCTGTGTTATTTAGATGACGTAGTTATATTTTCGAAGACATTTGAGGAGCACCCCCATCGATTAACAACCGTATTGTCCTGTATCAGCCGCGCCGGCCTCCAGCTAAATGTCAAGAAGTGTCGATTTGCGGCGAGGCAAATCAAAGTTCTGGGTCACCTCGTGTCCAAAGATGGCATTCAGCCGGATCCTGAGAAAATTCAGGCCGTTTCCTACATGCCAAAGCCAACCACGGAGAAAGAACTGCGAAGCTTTCTTGGACTCTGCTCCTATTTTCGACGCTTTGTACGTGGCTTCGCATCCATAGCAGCACCCCTGCATGACCTTTTGAAGAAATCGTCCCACCTGCCTTCTTGGACATCTGAATGTGAAGCTGCCTTCAATCAGCTCAAGGAAATTCTAACATCCGCCCCAATACTCCGACACTTCGACCCCACTGCTCCAACAGAACTCCGAACTGATGCCAGCGGCTTTGGAGTCGGAGCAGTTCTCGCTCAGACAAAAGCAGGTTTTGATAACTACGTTGTCGCCTATGCTAGTAGGGCTCTCTCAAAACCCGAAAAAAATTACACCGTAACCGAGAAAGAATGCTTGGCAGTCGTGTGGGCAGTCACGAAGTTTCGCCCATACCTTTATGGTCGACGTTTCAATGTTGTGACCGATCATCATGCCCTTTGCTGGCTATCGTCTTTAAAAGATCTCACTGGACGCCTTGGTCGATGGATGCTGCGCCTACAAGAATACGACTTCGCGGTTCTGTATAAATCTGGCCGCAAACATGGCGACGCCGACGGCCTCTCGAGATGTCTCCTGCGCTCTGACGCACCCGATCCATCTGACACCGACGAAGACCCTCTCACCTTGTCGGCACTAAATATTGTCGACATGCAACTCGAACAAGCAAGAGATCCGTGGCTATCGAAAGTTCTGACAGTTGTGAGAGACCCTGACTCGTCCCAAAACCGGTCACTGCGAAGGCAGTCCCAACATTTCCGCATTCGGAATGGGCTCCTTTACCGGCGCAACTATTCACCTGAAGGTCTCCATTGGCTTCTCGTTATCCCTCGTCACTTACGACGTGAGGTTTTAGAACATCTCCACAGCGATCCAACATGTGCTCATGGAGGACTTCTCAAGACCTACACTCGGGCTCGTCTGCGGTACTACTGGCCAGGGCTTTATGGCAGCGTTCAAAAGTTTGTAAGATCATGTCCCGAATGCCAACGTCGCAAGTCGCCTTCCCATTCATCTCAAGGTCTGCTCCAGCCCATACCGTGCCCAGAACGACCATTCCAGCGCGTCGGGATAGATCTTTTTGGTCCCCTCCCGAATTCCTCCTCTGGAAACCGATGGACCATCGTCGCCATTGATCACCTCACCCGTTATGTCGAAACCGCTGCTTTACCTTCGGCGACAGCAGAAAATGTCGCCAATTTTTTCTTAAACCAGATTGTTCTCCGTCATGGAGCTCCCAAAGAGCTCCTTAGCGACCGCGGAACTGTGTTCCTTTCAAAAATTGTGGAAGAGGTTTTACGAGCTTGCAGCGTTATTCATCGGACAACGTCACCATATCATCCGCAGACCAACGGCATGACTGAACGTTTCAACCGAACACTCGCTGATATGCTTGCCATGTATATTTCCCCTGATCACCGAAATTGGGACAAGGTTCTTCCATTCATAACCTTTGCTTATAATACCGCCGTTCAAAACACTACCCAATTTTCCCCTTTTTTTCTTCTTTATGGGAGGGAGGTCTCTTCAATACTCGACAGCCTGTTGCCCTATTCGCCGGAGGAGTCTGAATGCACACCACTCACCGAAATCCGAGAACATGCTGAGCAATGCCGTCAGATAGCAAGGACACGCACTGCCAACCTTCAAGGACAACAAAAACGCCGCCACAATGCCGCGTCCAACCCTCTTTCATTCAAACCGGGTGATCTTGTCCTGTTGTGGACACCGCAACGCCATCCCGGTCTCTGTGAGAAATTGCTTTCAAACTACCACGGCCCCTACCGTGTGCTTCGCCAGACTTCAGAAGTCAACTATGAAATCGAGCCCCTTTCGCCACCTACTGATCGCCGCCGACGTGGTCGTGAAATAGCTCATGTGAACCGCCTTAAAGTCTACAGCCCGCCAATCTCCCAGCCCTAACATCACCCTCGCCAGGATGGCTACCTCTGCGAAGGGGATATATTGTGACGAAGAGAAGCGGCACGAGTCTTCGGGGACGCGCCATCCTGGGAGAAGAGGAAGAGGAAGGACAGACTGAACGAGCGGCAATATATACCGGAAGGTCATCTTGATTTCTATCTCCAATACCCGTGTAAATAATAAACCCCCATCACTGAATCCGACTTCTGCTACAATATATATATATATATATATATATATATTAATAAGATATTATTAAGTTCTGAAACTTTGGCATCTTATTGAAACCTCTAGCGCTACATTTGGACGAAGAATGAGCGTTCGGCGGTGTGCAGTTTATATTTGCGGAGAAAACGAACAACCATGAAAACCTTTTACATTGTTTTTGGGACGTCCTCTATACATGCAAGCATTCAAAGTGCGCTTGAACGAAAAATAAATCGTTTCGTAGTACAAGCGTATGACTTGTAGACCATTTTGTTTAAAAAAAAAGCACGACAAAAATATAATTTCTTTAAAGTTGAGAAAAAAGCGGTAACAAAACATTTTTTATTGGATGAAGCGAGATTCCTTTCTCCTAGGTATGTATGTTAAGGCAGCCTTGGAATTGCTTCGAACCTCTTCGAAGAAGAGGTTAGAGGCAATCCCACGTTTATCATCTGACGAACTCTATTTCTTCCGGTGCCCAACCGAATGTTTTAGATTGAGATGTTCGCTCAAAGCACAAACGAACAAACTAAAATATAAACCGCCCAGGAATGGGCAAAATAAAACGCAAATAGAATATCTTTCCGGGACTAAGTAAACCCGAAATATCGTCGCTGATTTATTTAAGCTCAATGAAGCCCCTCTTCATTGGTCTTCGGTCGATCGATCGAAGATGCTTAGCTTTTTTGTTTTCTTCTAACCTCCATATATATGTATATATATTTTTTTTATAAATGCGGTTTCTTGTTGTACTTATGTCGTTACCTTACAACAATTTTTGCGGCTGGTTGTACAGTCGGCACGGAATGAAACGCGAACAAGGAGCGCATGGTTTTCGACCCACGCTGAGTCACCTAGAGACGCAACACCGAGGGTTTGGATGCACTGAGCAAGAGTCTAACACATCGAAGGAGGAGCCATCTTCTCGAAGCTCCCATCTGGTTCAGGTGGTGCAGCATCTAGCGAAAACCATGCACCCACCGTTCGCGTTTCATTCCGTGCCGACTGTACGTTTATTTGCACTTCTTGAACTTTGCCTCGCGCGTGTCGCTCTTCCGAAAGTCAGGACGTCGTCTAATATTACTATATCGCATTTCAAAAAGCAAAGTTCGTCGTTGTATCTTTTCGCGAGACAAGACTCTCTATTTATATAACCATAAAAAAAAGAAAACAAGAACCGATATTAAGGTGGGTCAATGTTCAGTTTGCCCAAAGTCGCGTTAATGACAGTCTTTTCACGTTGTTCATACAATAACTGTCTGTAGACGTGCTGAAAGCATACGTATGCATCAAGACGACGGGCCGCGAATGTACTCGAGGTGTCTCCGCGGATATTTCTCTC